CGGGGAGCCCAGAGAGATGGAGTCAGGTGTAGGAGACTTGGCTATTGTCGGTGTATCAGAAATGGAGAGAGTAGTGATAGTTGATAGTGGTCTCCTCTCAAGCTACAGTAGAACACATTCATGTCACCTGCCAGTTGCTAATTCACTTCAGCATGGAAAGGAGGTTTGCTGTAGCCAATGATATTTTTCAGGCCTTTCCACACATTGGCTGATTCATTTGTTGAGAGCTGATTCCTCAGCTTTTCAGAGTAGCTTCTCTCTGCTATCTTGATCTCCCTTGTTAATAGATTCCTGGCCTGATTATACAGCATTCTATTTGTTTTATTTTGTTCTATATGGTTTTTCTTTTTTATGCATTTTTGTGGTTCAGTCTTGTTTGGTTTCATTTATTTTTTAATATTTTTTTCCTTTTTTGGAGTTTGTATTTTAATATTTTGAATAAACTAAAAATTGTTTTAAAAAAGAACAAGAAAATAGTTCATAACAAGTTTCTGTTAAACAGGCAGATAAGAAACTTACAGTACATGGTCTTCCGGTTTGCCAGGCTTCGGCGGCGGCGGGGTTTCGCGATCTTTGCGCGATCCCTGCTGGGCTAGCCGTCTTGGTGCCTCTGATCCTGACGGGTCTGGAGGATAAGGCTTCCCCATAGAGGCAGCCGAAGATAGGGGGGATCCGGTCAGGGGTTTGGGGTGTTCGCAGACCCCCTCCCCACCCGGCATAACCCCCTTTTCTCAAGGCGGTGGAGCGGCGGTCAGTAATGGCCGTCACAAAGAAGCCTGCAGCTGGACAAGATTGTGCTGGAGGAAGAAGGAGAAAGTTTTGAAGCGAAAGTTTTTTGGCTGAACTGGGACTATAAGATGTATTTAAAATCCTGAAAACCCTGATTTTTTTAATGATACTTTGTTTCCAGAAGAGATTTACAAGCGGCGAGTGAAAGTGATTAAAGAGAAAGTTTACTCTCCTTCCCTATGAAACTAACAAATGGACACTGAAAAGCCTGCTATTTTATAGAAGGTAAAAATTTAAAGCTTTTTGTTACAAGTGGGAAAGGAGAGGACAAAAGAGAAATTGATATTAAGATTTTGTTGGAGGAGATGCCTGGAAGATTTGAGACTGGAAGTTAATATAAGACTTTAAAATACAGATTGGGTTTTTTTTCCCTTTCCGATTGATACTACCCCAGAAAGAAAAAGTGTGAAGGGAAGAACTTTGTGCTCTGTTTGGACTGCTTGATGACTCTGGGACTGTGGGGAATTGTTCTAAGTTTGGAACTATCTTGGTTGTTCTAAGAAGAAGAGGGGAAAAAAAAAAGAAAGAAGAAAAGGTTTATAATGGCTTTATCGGCTGAAGAACTGAGAGAGGAATATGGAAAAATAAAGAAAGATGGCAAGGATGCTGTGAGAGAAATTTTTCGCATTTTGGAAATGGCACTAGCTACCTATCAACAAATACAACAATCGAGGGAGGAAGCAGAAGAAGAAGAAGGAGAAGCCATCTTTAATGAATCTAAAAAGTTGATCAAGAAAGGAAGGAGAAAAAGAGGAAGGAAAAAGGACTTAAGACTTAAAAAAACATCCAAGAAAGAGAAAAATAAGATGCAAAATCAATACAATGTTAGAAAGCAAAAGAAAAGAGAAATACAACAGAGAGGGGAAGCTAAAAAGGAGGAGGTTAGGAGTAGGGGGGGTAAAAAGACCAGATGGGATAAGATAGGAAGGAAGAAGGGGGAAAAAAGCCACAAAGGTATGAAACAAGATGGGAAAAAGAAATTTTTTTTTAGGGATAAAGGGTAATGTATAACCTTTTCTTAAAAGGATTCTGCAAGGTACATAAGATAGTATTGTAGTATTTGTATTAGAAATAGAAAATTAGAAAATATTAAAGGTTTAATAATGATAGATTTTAAGATTTAATATAGAGTTTAACTGATTATTGCGTGGATAAACTTATTTACTGTAGCATTTGTTTTTGAAATAGATAACTGGGATGCTATAAGATTTAATGTTCAATTGTATATTTAATTACTTTATAGATTTATTATTTTCTTTCTTTTTTTAAAAAAAATTAGTAGGTAGAATGTACTAAGCAGAATCAGATAGGGAATAGGTGTTATCTTAAGTGTTAATTTAGGGGAGCGATGGAACAGGTATCATACTTTGATTAGTGATTTCAGGAGAAATCTTTTTTTTCTTCTACTATAGGGAATGAGATAAATGGATAATTGGAAAAGAATGGACAAAAGATATAAGTAAAATGTTAAATCTTAATTTAAATTAAGATGAAATAAATAAAATAGAATTAAGAAGAGTGGAAAGCGGGGAGAAGTTATAATGAAGATATAGAATGGTAAATAAGATAGGTAATGGTATATATGATGAGCATAAATTTAATTGAAGTCCATATAAAAAGAGGTAATCCGGGGCCAAGCTACTTTATAAAAAAAGAAGTTTTATGTTTTTGTGTTTTGTGTGTTTATGTTTGTCTGAGATTTAATAAAACCTTGGAGGAAAGCTAGAGAAGAATAATTGCTAACAAGACAGAGGGAAATATGAATATGATGATTATAAAATGGATAAATATAGAAAAGAAATGTAATTGAATAAGAGCAAAGAGAAACAATGAGAAATCTGCTAAAAGATATTTAAATGGAAATGGGATATATTAGAATTATATTGTATAAAATAATGTTTTATCTGCCTTGTAAAAATCTATAATGGAAAGAGGTTTTATGTTGTTAATGTTTAATGATGTTTTGTCTGTCTTTAAAAATTAATAAAATTTATTCCCCCCCCCACCCCCCAAAAAAGAAACTTACAGTACATGGAATGAGTGAATAAATTACCATACAGTAGTTCAAAAGACCAGAATTGAAACATTAAATTAAATTTGATTTCAATTAAAATGCCTCTACAGTTAAAAGAAACAAACCTCAAGAAATTGGTTGAATAACATACAAATCTAACAGAAAAGAATAATCTGATGTATTACCATAGCGTATTTAATTTATACTCAGGTCAGTATGAGAGTTTATTTTGGTAACTGGAAAAATGACAAAATCCTACATCTGAACCATCTGCCCAGAGTTGCCAATCATATTCAAAATATTGAGAATAGTGATTGATGGAAAGTGATGCTTGATGAGAGCAAAAACGAAGCCATGACAACCTACTAGTCAATGCTCTTAAATCCTCTCACAATAAAATTTTATGAACAGCATCACCTCTCAGGCTAATTTCTCAGGCTGAATATAAACTTCTTTATTTATGTATCTGGCTTATATCTCCACCCATCTTATGCAGTATATCTCTGAGAGACTTACAACAGTAGTAACAGCAGTAGTAAAATCAGCCAAGCCATCACACATTATGCCAGTACATTTTTCTGGGACTCAAGAATAGAAAGAATTACGGTATGTTTCGGAGTATAAGACACTCCGAAATATAAGACACACCTAGATTTTAGAGAGGAAAACAAGAAAAAAAATCTACCTCTGGCTCCCAGCAATTTGCTTCCTTGCTGCAAACAGCAAACAGCCTATTTCAGTTTCAGTTTCAGTTTCAGCACAGCTTGATTAACACAAGAAAAAAAACAAATCTGCCTCTGCCTCCCAGCAGCCTAAAACCCTGCACCCTGAAACAGCTGATGGTTGGAGGCTGATCACAATCAATTGCTTGTGCTAATCAGTTGTTCTGAAACTGAAGCTGAAGCTGAAAGAGGCTGTTTGCTGTTTGCTGCAAGGAGGCAAATTGCTGGAGGCAGAGGCCAAAAGGTGGGGGCCGGCAGGTGGGTGGAGCTTCAGCAACCTTCAGACCACAGAAATTTCCACCCTCTTTTGGGGGTGGAAAAAGTGCGTCTTATACTCTGAAAAATATGGTATATTAATGTGTCAGTCTTGTTATATAATCTGAGGGTTTAAATTGTTTCCACGGCAGATTAATTACTGTGAAATTTATTTCTACTTCTAAGAAAGCTCTAAACATCTTGATGGCTTTTTTTCCAATAAGAAAAAGAAAAGGAATTCACAAAAAGCATCTGTAAAGCAAGCAAATAAATAACTAACATGAAATGAGTGAGCTACAAATAAATGTTCTCATAAACAAAAAAGCTGTATAAGCTATAGACATCAGGAATGAAATATTTAATTATTTGATTTGATTTAAATAAATGTGCTTCTGTAGTCAAGAAAGCCCATTCCACAGCAATTCCATTGCGCTGTCATCAGGGTTTTTGAGGGACAAATATAATGCTATCAATCTCTGGGTTGTCCTGAGTACTTGTGCAAATTGCCTTGTGACAGATTCGCTCAGGATCTCACTATCAAACCTGCAAAGAGGAGTACCAAAAATTACAGTTATCTTCTATAAAACAGGCATAATTTCAGTGAAGGGATTCAAAATATTTTACTACCGGTTCTGTGGGTGTGGCTTGGTGGGTGTGGCAGGATACTGCAAAATCTCCATTCCCACCCCACTCCTGGGGGAAGGTTACTGCTGGTTCTCTGAACTACTCAAAATTTCCACTACCGGTTCTCCAGAACTAATCAGAACCTGTTGAATACCTCCTCTGCATCATTTGTATTTTTATAGGAACTGATGGAAATGTAAAAATGTACAGCAACTAAACTGCCTTTTGTGCTGTATTAGCATACTCCAAACCCTCGCAAATGATTGGTCCAGACGGACCGCGACCTGATTGGTCAAAACCCCGACCGTGATTGGAGCGTTAAGAATCCACTGCGATTGGCTGTGCCAATCGCGGGAAATTCAAAACGCTGCCATTGGCCGCCGAGCCGCGAGCCAGCTCTATTTAAAGGGCTACCGCGGCTCGTATTCTCCAGACTGTTCCTATTCTAAATAAAGAGCTGAAATCACGAGAATGGTCTCGCGTCTCACTCGAACCGATCCACCCCAGATCTAACACCTTTCCTTGGATATATTTCTTGAATATTAACCACCAAAAGACAGTTGTGCAAATGAAACTGAAAGTAAAAATCCACTTACTGAAAAACATCGATTGTACACTTTGAATGTTTGAGCCCATCACACAGCAATTCCATTGTTTTCTCATCTGCGTTCCAGAGTGACAAGTCTAACTCTCTCAGTCTCTGGTTTTTCCTTAGTACCTCTGCAAGATGGCTGCTGAATAATTCAGCCAGGATGCCTACATCAAGCCTGCAAAGAGGAATCTGAAAAATTAGAATTTCCTCCTAAAAAACAAGCATTGACTGTATTTTTTGTAGGAACTGAATGGAATGTAATTATGTATGGCAACTGAACT